CTCTAACCAATGGCTTATTTAGCAGTGCTTTTATAAAAAATGTTCAAATAATTAGGGACTTTCCAGATATAATAGTTTCATTTATTAAATTCACTTAAATTTAATTAAATAGTAGTCTTTGAAATTGCAACTCTCTAATAATTTATGAGTTTCAAATGTTTTATTTGTAATACAAATGATAATAATATTAGGTAAATTTTGAGAGGTTTTTCTATGGCAGTTGTAAGTATTTTATATATGTGAGTCATCAGTGTTCACAAGGATGCTTTGACAGGGCACTTTGCTATCCTTTCTTTCCACATGAGAAATTGGAGAAGTTGGAATTCAAATGGGATCTTTCTGGAACTTCAGCTCTTCACCGCCTCTTGTTAGTCCTCATCCTCATCCTCTTCCTTGTCGTCTAATTAGAATCTTTGCCCATTAAAAAAATTGTTTTTGTTTATTATTTTCCTGTGGATTTGTAAAAAAATTTTGTAAATTGAAAATATTACCTTTTGGAGGGTTCTAATAAGCCCCTCATAGTTTCTTAATAATAAAACTAAGGAATGCTATTTACTCCTAAGGAAACAAGAGAATATTAGCTTTTGTCTCTCATAGGTGTTAAAAGTATTTTCCTGAGTTTTAAATTTGTCTTTAATTTTTGCTTTTAAAAAATAATTATCTTTTTATATTTTATGCAGTTAGTCTTATATATCTTTATTCTTGTGATCTATTCTAATACTTTTAGGCTTGGAAAAAAATCTTTTGTATTGCCAAAATTATACCAAAACTTACTTATATTTTCTCTGAGTGTTTTCCTTATCTGCTTCCTTTTTTAAATTTTATTTTATTTATTTCCATCACCATTTATCCCCCCATATATTGTTTACATGTTTTTTTTAAACTGGGAATTATGTTTCTTATGATAGGGTCTACATTAGGTTGCCCAAATGATTATACCCTCATCCCAGGACTATTTAGATTGAATCTTTTTTCTCCCTAACAGAAGTTTTGGGCCTTTTCTTGGTTATAGCAAGAAAAGAAAAAAACCCAACATGGTAATGAATTCATAAGCTGCACCATATCAAAGAAGAACTGTGGAAGAGTTGGGGAGCAGAGGAAGGGTTATGTTATGGTCTTAGTATGTGAATTTAGGGTCACTAAAGAAAAGGAATGATTGTTTATATAACATAGCAAACAATGAAGAATATAAATATGATTTTGCTTGTCATCAATTGATATGACCAGTACAATTTTTACTTTGGATTATCATATCATTCTATTCATGCTTTTCCTCTGGTACTTAACATTTACTATATTTTAATAGTTATTTGTGTTTCATGATAGCAAATTCTCTGAGAGCCAAGATTCATTGGGTCTAGTTCATCCTTCTGTCCCTTTCACAATATTCTCCCCATGATTTTCATAAGGTAGGAAGTCACTAAGAGTAGTAGGAAGAAAGGAGATAAAGGAAGGAAGGGGAGTAGGAGAGGAAGAAGACAGACAAAATGCATAAAGGTAGTATGAAAGAAAAATAACATGATAAAAAGTGGGGGAGTCTAGGATATAGAGGGAAAGAACATATAGTTAAATGATTTGAGTGTCTTTTGTGGCAACTGAGTACATGAAGCTCTTTCTATGTCTAGAATCCCATTTTCTTTCCTTTATTTAGAATACTTCCTCACTCATGCCCATTGGGGTGATTAGTTTGGAAGAAGACTATAGAGTTAGTTAAAAGCCCACCTACGAGTCTTCAACTTTGTCTTAAAGTTGATAGAGAATTTTAAAAAGTCTTGAACACAAGAGCAATGTTGGCACAGTGGTGCTTTTAAACCATGACTTAAAAGTGATTGTAAAGATGAAAACAATGGACAGCCGGGAAGCAGGAAGTACAATTTTGGTCTTTTGGCATAGAGAGTCTTTCTCTTCTTGGCAAAGCTAAGCTTTATTTCCCTCACGTCTAGATATGGCAATGTGACTGGTGTTTACCAATGGATGATTAACAGATATGGTCATTTTTGGTCTGAAGAAGTTAAAAGCAGATACGTCTTCTCAAGCTGTTCATCTACACTCCCATCTGCCAGTTTGACGAGGTCAGACTACCATGGAGCTACATAGCAAAGACAGGGAAGTTGCCTAAGGAAGAAGATGGAATCCATCAGTCATCACTTGGAGGAGAGCCACCCACCAAGAAGTCATTTGTATTAGACTTTATGCGAGTAAGAAATAAAAGTTTATTTATTCAAATCACTGAGATTTAGATGTGACTTGTTAAAACAGGTAGTGCCAATTATTCTGACTAATTAACATGATTGTGACAGGGACCATGTGTGGTGGTAATGACAAAGAGTGGAGTATAGGCCAGTGGATTGGAGAGAAAGGGAAAATGGCACAAGAGTGAAGGACAACTTCAAGGTAAGCCTGTAGACCTGGAAAAATTGTCAACAGAAATAAAAATGTCCAGAAAAAGAGCAACTTTGGGGAAAAACAATGCAACGTCCTTTATTTTAGACAGGTTGATCTTATATATTATGGCTCATCCAGATATAATGTAAATGCCTGCAAAATAAAAAAAGGAGTTGCAAAAGTAAATTGCGTGAGAGAAAGGAAAAGGAGAGAGTAAGGGTGAGGAGAAAAAATGAAAAATTATTGCAAAAATAGAGGATTTAGTTCTCATAATAAAAAGGTAACAGTTAAAATGGGTTTAAACTTATGTAAAGAAAGGCAATGAACCCAGTAAATTTTTTATTTAGTTTGAATAATAGAATAGCAAGAAAAAGTCTTATCTTTGCCACTAACTATATATATGACTTTGGCCATTTTTTTTTTTAACCTGTTTGAGTCTTAGTTTCCCCATGAGAGGTTTGAACAAGATTTGAAAACAGCTTTCAATCAGAACCACCCATGGAGGTTTAAAAGTCCACATGCCTGTGCCCCTTCGCAGACCTACTACATCAGAATATCCAAGATGTGGGTGCAGCCAGCACGAGGCTCTTCCAGGACAGCAATTTCATCCCCTTAGTGGGGAGCTGGGAAGCTTAGTCATGAATTTCAGTTATAAGAACTTTTACACAATGTCTCATTCTCCCTATTTAAAAGTTTTCATCACTGAGTTTGTGGATAGGTCTGATTTTTCCAAGTCAATCTTTTGGTCAAGACATATTCTGTTTCTGGGAGGGGGGAGTTGGAGAATAGGTGAAAAAGGTGAAGGGGTTAAGGAGTACAAACTGGTTGTTTTAGACCAGTCATGGAGATGTAAGGTGCAGCATTGGAGATATAGTCAATAATATTCTAATAACTATGTATGGTGTCAGATGGGTATGAGATTTATTGGCATGATCACTTAGTATGTTATATAATATCTAGGCACTGGGGTGTACACCTGAAACTAATATAACATTGTATGTCAAATGTAATTAAAAAATTAAAAGTGATTTACATTAAAAAAAGAAGAAGAAACATTCCGGAAGCAGCAACCTCCTTACTAATGCTCCCATCTCAGGAAGGCAAGAAGTTACACTTATCCAGTAACTAGCAGAGAGACCATATAAGACTAGTAGTTACAAGTGTAAACTGTGGAGTCAGATTGAGCTGAAATCTCCTCCTGCCCCTAGAGCTGTGTAATGCTGAGGAGTTACTTTTAACTTACCTGTTCCTTAGTTTTCCTATCAAAAAATGGAACATGGATAGATAGTAACTTAGAGGGTTGTTACGAGGATCAAATGAATCAATATATTTAAAGTGCTTAGAAAGTGCTAGAACATATCAAGTGTTTCATAAATGCTAACTATTATCATTAGGAAGCCTATAGACTCAAAACTCCTACAGGCAAGCAGGCCGGAGACAAAGTAGAGGGCAGGGGTAATACCTCTGTCTGCCCTCATGCCTATAGGTGTGGGAGCCGACTTGCTTTTGGGGGGTTTTGGAGTCAGATATGGGAGAAAAGTGGCAGACATACCACAAAACTGCAATCCTTGCTGCTGCTATCTCATAAAGCTTAAAATAAAAGGAAGAAAAAAAAGCATATTTTATGTCCACCCCAGCTGAACAGTCTGCATTGCAAAATTCCAACGAACTAGGTAGCGCCCAAATTGCCCAGATGTCACTGTAGTTGTAGATCAAAGATGTCACATATGTTATTTCTTTGTCTACTGTAGTGATTCACAGTATTTAACACTTTTGCAATTTCTTGTTTGTTTTTGTATTTCCCCACCATCTGAGTTCATGATCCCACCCTAACACTAACTAGACTTTTCTGATTGTGACATTATAAAAGTTACACAAATTAAACTTTATTGCCTTTTTTTAAAATCTGAGAACTTCTCAATGCCCCTCAAGATAACTAGAGATCTATAAATCACAGTTTTCACAGTGTTTGGGACAAAGCTTAATGTAAAAATATGGTTAACTCTGGTAATTGGGTAGAGAACTCTCTGAGCCTTATTCCTCACAAATCTCTGGAAATTGGAACCAACTCTAAAGGGAAGGAGAAATAAAGTCACAAGGTTGGTTGTTCTCAAAACAGGCTCCCCCCAACCACTATCTTCGCTTCTAGCCTCATGTCCATTCCTTAGGTGGAGGAATTCAACAAGCAGAGTAGGGACAAAAAGACCCTGAGTAGGGCCCAACTTAGGTCTTAAGGGAGGACTTTACCATTGGAGGCAATATTAAGAATATGCCCTTATGTGTCTGTGACATGTTTGTGTAAAACAAGCATCTTGCAATGTTTTTAAAGGGTGGAAATTGAACTCTCAAGTGCAATGTAGAGCAGATAAGCAGGGAATATTTACAGAGTGACCAAGTAGTGAATTTTCATTACTGACTAATGAACTTCATTGATATCAGATTATGTGGTTGGGTCTCAGTCCCGATAAAGGAATTTCCTAGGGTGTGCCAGATATGACAGCTTTTTTCAAAGTGATCGGTTTGGAAAGAGATTTCCACACCTTAAAGCCAATATAAAGGGTAGAAGCTGCTCCAGGCAGCCTTACTTGCTCCAGCACCTTTTCTCTTCAGACAAAATGAAAATCCTTGTAAGTATTTGCTTATGCTTCTTTATACTCTTGTGGTGGTGGCCTGCAGAGTGTTCATAGCCAATGTGTCTTGGATTTCAGGGTTCTTAGACAAACACTGTGCATGCTTCCAAGCTTCTGTGATTGAATTAATGATGTCTTCGTCAGGAGTAGTGTTGAATATTAAGTGGAATGTTTATTTGTCTATTGTCTATTTTTGAGATGTTTACTAAAAAACAGAGAAAAAATGCTGGAAATATCTAGAGAATTTTCATTTGGAAGATATTTAATAATAATTCTTATTAGGAGCTTTAGAGGGAATATAGATATTTTAGGATAGCTGCATTTACTATCTAAAAGAGAAGTGGCAACTTAAAAATAATAATATCAGTAATATTAACAATAGTAATAATAGCAGCAATCATTTCCTAAATGTATACTAGGCCTTATGCTAAACATTTCACATGAATAATTTCATCGATTCACTTCAACAACTCTAGGAGTTGAGTAGTATTACCCCGTTTTACAGATGAAAAGACTGAGGTATGGAAGAATGTGATTTTCCCAAGACAATGAATTTGGAATTTAGCCTTGAAATTTACCCACCATACGCCCCACTTACAGGAGAAATCATGACAAACCTTCTCTGTCATGCCCACTCCTACTCCTCCAACTGACCCCAGCCGCAGCTCCACTTTCTCCCATAGCTCCTCACTGCTGTGCTCCACGGGTGACTGGACTGTGTTCTGATCTATATCAGAACTCCTTCCCCTAGTCTCTATCCCTTATTCTCATTCAGAAGCTGAGGGAGGAAGCAGAATGATTAGTACCTCCCCTTAAGGTGCTAAAGACTGTCAGATTAAAGGGTTTCCTCTTCCAGGAGTCTCTTGATTTTCTAAGAAGAGACCTAACCTGAAGCACAAACTTATAACTGTGGTATATTAATCACAGTGTTGGGTAGGTGGTTATTTGGAGGCAGGAGCTATTTCCTGAACTCTCTCCAATCATACCACTAAGGTGGTCAGACCTCCAGCTACCTGTTCATGCCCCTGTATTAAACCCATTAATAGAATAGCTTGGGAGTGTCAGAGGTTACTGGAACCACCTAGAGCCAGAGATGTGACCCCACACAAGGAAGCAGGTGGGATATCTGCATACAGGTCTTTGCTAGACGCCCCCCGCCCCACCGCCAGTCATCAAGAGAGCAATGTGTTTGGCAATATAAAAAGGGCAATCGTAAAGTCCCACTGACAGTTCTTAAAAATACCTGCCTTCCAGCAGACTCCCTCCAGCTGCAATTTTCAATAATAGGGCAGTACACTGTGATGTCCGAAGAGACTGTGCAAAGCCAGGATCAGGTATTTCATTTGACTTTTATACAACTACAGCAAAATATCGGAACTGCCTCGGTGCCAGTTTTGTGGCCTAACATTTGTCTGATGGTAACATTAACGCACAAGTTTTAGGAGAGTAAGGAGGTTTTTCCTTAATGTCAGCCTCAAAAGTTAATCATGTCCCCAAACATCTTATTTTCATAGTTTCCCTTAGAAATCCATTGTATCCATTGTCCATGAATCTACCTTTAATCTGCTTTACCCCCCGCCACCCCGCCTTTTTTTAAACCAGAAGGCACAAATTGACTTCTTGTAATCCAAAACCAGAATGAATCACACCCGGGTATGCCCCATAGCAAAATCAGTCATTTCTTACTTCTTACCTGCCTCAATTCTTCCTGGCATAAGAACACATGCTACATATAAGTTTTTGATGTTGGAAAGGTCTCAGAATTGGGTGACAGAGGTAGAACCTTGTGTCTGGTAACAGCATGAACTCAATAAATACCTGCCAAATGAGTGAATGTGTGTGTGTTTTATACTTTGGAAATGGACTGTTGACCGTCCATGACCACACACCAGTGTCTCTAGGTGTACATTTTCTGAGATATTTATGCTTGTCTTGTGCAGTGTCCCCTCATGCCTCTATCTTCAATGATTACTGTATAGGGAATTGAGGTGGCTGGTCTGTTTTTCAGGTGTTATGTCTGGTGGTGCTAGCCACCTTTGGAACACAATCTTATGGATTTGAGGTGAGTTGATTTATCATGAACTTTATAGCTTGGAGATGTTGGGAGAGGAAAATGAAGACACAAGATAATTTGAAGGACAGTTGAGAGTCCATGTTTTGGGGATAAAATCCCAGAAATAACCAATAATAGAAACAATGAGATTATTTCTTTCCAAATGCAATACCTTAAAAAATGTAAACAATTACTTTAAAATGTGACAAATCTCATTTTTCCTGTGATGTCATTGTTTCTCCCATATAATATATAGTCAACTATGGGAAAGAGTTTTTCATTCTTATTTTAACATGCAGTTTTGGTCTGGGATTGCAGTGGAGAGGTTTTAGGCTTCAGTTTCTTGTTCATAGAAGGTGGAAGGCTTTATTTTGCTGGGAGGGATCCTTTCAAATGCATAGGGTTTATGGAAAAACCATTATGTCTTTGTTGTCAATCTAGGTTTATAATATCATCAGCCCAAACAACAACGGTGGCAATACTCAGGAGACAGTAACAATTGACAATGAAAAAAATGTTGCCATTGTTAACGTCCATGCAGGATCGTGCTCCTCTACCACGGTTTTTGACTATAAACATGTAAGCAGTGAGGGTATTTTTATATTCTTCAAGACTGGGTTTCTAAAGGGTGGAGGGGCAAGCATTTTGGACACATTTGAATTCTAAAATGTATCCTGCAATTCCATCAGAATTTCCTTACATCTGCCTTTCCTTTCAAATAATCAACCTATTGATTAACAAAAACAAAATCATTTCTAAGAAAAAGACATGATAGGAACACATGTTTACTTGACATTTTCAGGTGGAAATTGTGACTGTGATGATATTGTCTCACTACAGGCTCAGAAAGAGTGACCAAAGCCCAAAACAATGCCTGGCTCACAGATTCTCAAAAATGTTTGTCAAACAAATAAGAATGAATTAGGGTTTCTAACACAAAATATTATGCAGGAAAAGAACAATCATGAAAACAGTCACAAATAGTCAGAAATCCAGAATAACTATACATATTTTTAACTATGTATGTAGGTTACGCAGTAAATCATGCTTTTTCTGTAAGAGGGAAAGTATGTTAATTAAAAACACCAAACCATTTCCAAGTTTTAGTTGTTGTTATTAACAGGAAGTCTCAGAAACCTACTCAGAAAACTTATTCTGTCCATTATCCATGTCTTCCTTTGTCTATTTTCCATTTGTTGCACCAACACTGTGGGTTTGTTTCTAGCTGTGCCCAGTGGATAGAGGTGGGTTGTCATTCATCTCACTGGATGTCTGAACATGCTTTTCTCCTTCTATTCTTGTAGAAACATCCTCACACACTTCCTCCCATTGGTATTGATAATTCTGGGACACATTTGAGAGTGTAGGGTCTTCAAAAAAAATATACAGTTTAAAAAGAAGTTGTACTGAAATTGTTTTTAAGCAGATGCCAAGGAAATCCTAAAAGTGTTTTAAAAAATGGAGTGGTGACGATTTGGTTTAAGCCTCTTCCACTATCGTCATGCTTGGTCTCTGTCTATTTTTGAATTTTGGGAACTGGCAATTTGTGAGAAGTGAAAAATAGGAAGTGGAAGGGTTTACATTCCACAGTCTTACAGGATGTATAATTATTTGGAACCCAGAAGAGTTCCACCCTAGCTGAGGATTAGGTGGCCTAAGGTTCCTTCTAGCTCCATGGTCCTCATCCTCCCTTGCTCTTCCAATTCTAACTTTCTCCAACCCATCCCTACCCACCTAGCTTATGTTAGAGTTGGGGAAAAAGATGGAGAGAAGATGGTAGAAGAGGGAAGAATATATGAAGCATGTGCCGGGCCGGGGGGGCGGTAAGGAGGATAGGTGTAGGTAAGATAAGGAGAGTTTCTAAAGCAGCAGTGTCCAATGGAACTTTCTGCAGTGATGGAAATGATCAACATCTGCATTTTCCAATGGGGAAGCAGCTATCCACTTGTGGCCATTGAGCCCTTGAAAAATGTGACAGAGGAAGTACATTTTCAATCATATTGGTTTTGATTTTAAATTTAAAGAGCTATATGTGGCTAGTAACTAACACATTGGAAAGCACAGCTCTAAAGAATCTTATGTATACTCCAAATCCAGGAAGAGGCTGGCCAAAATAAATAGAAAGAGATAGGGAGCTCTGCTTCTCAATCTTTCAAATCATAAACTGCAGGTCCTACTTCCATGACACGAAAAGTAGGGCACAAATCCTGGGTTTTCACAACTTCAGAGATAGCGATGACAAGTGAAGAAGTAGAAATACTATGTCAAAGAAGCCAAGTGGGCAGGATTGATTGCATATTGAAAAAGAGTGACATGCACTCACTGTGCATGCCCAAGGCTTTCCCAAGGTTCATATGTCATTCTCACCAACTTCAGAACCCAGGTGGTTGGGAGGGGCAGTAACTGTACTCTTGCTGCCTCAGGGCTACATTGCATCCAGGATGCTCTCCCGAAGAGCCTGCTACATCCTGAAGATGAACCATGAAGCTATCCCTGCCCTGGACCAACTCAAACGGTACATCTACGAAAGGCAGGTAAGTATTTCCTGTTATTGAGCCAAGGAATACTGGTGACTATGGAGAGATGAAGAGGGTAAAGGGATCATAATATCATACCTTATTGCTCCCCACTTATTAGGGTGTTTTCATGTTTATTGTTTTTGTTGCCAGAGTATATCTCTTACCTTGATTTCCACCATACAACCCCAAATACAAGACCTTATAATAAATTCCAGTGTTTCTGTAGAAAAGGCTGCCCAAGTTCTTTTCTCAGAGCAGGGCTCTAAGAAGTAGTGGATGGCAAAAAAAGAAGTGGAGTTATGATATTCAATGATACAAGGTGCAGAGAAACAATATAGTCTAGCAAGAAAAAACAAACACTACATGAAGCTAGAAACCTGGGGTGCAGTTCTCCCTCTGCAGCTTCCCATTTGTGCCACCTTTGGCACAGGAATCACCCTCTTCATGTTTCATTGTCACCGGCAGAATAATATTGGTAATAATGAGGCTTCTCTGAAGACCAAGTGGTCAGAGAAGAGGTGATATCTAGAGATCCCTGACTACCTTCTACTTAGTAATCTGAAAGAGAAAAACTCACCAGTTAGAATAAGGTATACCAGATTACATCAACTTATTTTTACCCAATCCCACTCTATTATACTGATCTAGGCTCTGAAAACCATGTTCTCCAACAAATATACCTGGGTCAAGTACAACCCACTGCAGTCTCTGATCACAGACGTGAAATGGTTTCTGTTTGGGTCACCCATTGAGCAGCTCTGCAAACATATCCCTTTGTATAAGGGAGAAGTAATTGAAAAGACACGTGAGTACCAATGAATTATTCCTTCACCAAATATTTTCTGAAAACTCTAATGTGCTTAACACTCTGCTAGGTGTTGGGTGAAATACAAATAAGTATAAAACATGACTCAATTTGGCCTACTTTGGGAATTAAATCCCAACCACATGTGGAAATTGTGCTAAATGTTAGGAGAGATACAGAAATGAAGAAAACTGCCCACAAGGAACACATGGTCTGGTGGAAAAGCTGATCCATTAACACAGACGATGGAATAAAAATAGATTCCTGGGTGTAAAGGAAAATCTATTGGATTCTCTAATGTACTATACATGGCGTACAAGGTGACTGTAGTTAATAACATGGTATTGTATACTTGCAAGTTGCTGAGAGTAATCTTAAGCATTCTTACCACACATGCATAACAGAGTTACCTATTTTAACTATGTGACATGATAGCTGTGTTGTCTTGATCTTGGTGATCATTCTACAATGTGTATGTATATAAAATCATCACAATGTACACTTAAAATATATACAGATATATTTGCCAATTATTTCTCAAAAAAGTAATATTCTCAGAATCTAGGATCAAGCTGGTCCAAGAAAAAGCAGGTAAAGTGCACTGATGGGGAACAAAAGCCCTGAGTCATCCAGGTACCATGGGTCACTGCAGTCATTACTGTATTTTTACACAAGGTTTCCAAATACAGAATAAAGGCCAGAGTGAAAGGGAGGCTGGGCCACGGATGTTGATCGTAACAACAACAGAAGTTCCCCGGGGTAGTGGAACGTGGATAAAGAAGAAACAAATAACATTCAATACATTTGCACTGCCCAGAAAAAACAACTAGTTAAGACATTTTTCTTTTTGAAAGGTCATTAGTATTTATAAGTAAAGACTCATAGGAATGACATTAATGTATAACATCAATTGAATTGAGCCAGACAGCACTTCTTGGAATTGTCAGTCTATTTAAGTTAGTATATTACTATCCTTTGCAATGCAAGTATAGCTAAAATCTTGGGTAACATGAAATTACATGGACAACTTCTAGTCAAGACATTTTTACAAAAAGGGATTGGTTTGCTGCATTCTAATAATGTATTTCTTAATGATTTTTCTTCAAAAATGTTCCCCTCTCCAGATAACATCGGTGCTCAAGGCTGTGCAAAGGCTGGGCTCCTGGGCATCTTTGGGATTTCCATCTGCGCAGACGTTCATGTTTAAGCATTAGCCCACTGGTTGCATCTTTTCAAAGAAACACATCCTTTGGTTTCTACTCAGCAGTAAAATTAAATTCTTTCCTAATGCCCCAACTAATTTTGAGACTCAGTAGTAAAACATAAATGCTACTTTTACAGATATCTGAGTGTTTGAATTCTTGTAAATGGCAAAGGGATGTCAAGAGATGTTTATGTCAATATATAGAAGAAAAGAAATTGCCAGGATTTCAAGTGAAGTACCTAAAGTGTGAAAATTTCCGGATAATATGGTTGGGTCACAGGCAGGCCAGTCAGTGAGTACAAGTCTCCATCAGACTTGTACCCAGTGACTGTTGCTCACTGACCAGTGGCCCATTTGTTTGTCCAACACCCTGGGTGGCCAGGGTGGAGCATGGGCTCGGGCAGCACTGGCCTCTACCTAGCGAGGGGTGCGGATTTGGGTGCCCTTAGAAAACAATTTGACTGCTCAGGAGAAGGAAACTACCCCTCTGACAAAGCATCAAGTTTTGAGGCCCATTTGCATGACTTTTAGCTCATCAAAGCAGTAAACTCAACCTTAACAAACACTATCATGAAGTACTTTGTCCCAGAGCGAGAGGAGGAGGTTGGAATACCCATCACTCAAAAAAAGATGAACCTTATTGAAAATCTTAGCAGAAGTGAGAACCTAATTAGAAATGCCAACTCCATATATAGAAGGGAAGCAATTTCCACTATTTCAAAGAAATTGCATAATATGAACAAATTTCCAGATCATATAGCTGGTTCTCATGTTGATGAATCAACTGGGTACAAGTTCAGGGGAAAAAGAAAGAAGTATTTAACAAGAACTATCTGTCATTGACTGCTCCTATTCCTAACACTGTACTGTTTAATAACCATTACTGAATATATTTAAAGCACTCACCATGGCTCAGGACTGGGATAAGTTTGCTAGAGGAAGAGGCCCAAGGCAAAACTGCCATGGTCAAGAAAGTTATTTTCTTGTTTGGGAAGGGATACATTTGTATAAAAGCATTTGTAATAATAGTAAAAGAGTGTAGAATAAACTGCCAAATGAATAGTAGCATGTACTACCTGGGATCTGGGTGTTTGCAAGTGATGGAATCCAGGTCTAATTGGAGTGGAATGTGATGTTTGAGCTTACCATAGAAGGAGGGATATTCTGGCCTTGGCTGTCTAGAACTAGGTATTGTGAGGTGGCCAGACTCTTTTTCCCTCTGTCTCCACTCTCTTTCTCTTTCCGTGTCAGCCTCGGTATCTTATGCTGGCTTTCTCCATGAGGGCAGAGTCCAACACCGCTGTCAGCCCCAAAGTCCCCATCTCCCCAGCATCATCCTCAGACAGAGAGGGACTCCTCCTGTTTGAATTTCAAGTTTAAAAACTTGGAAAGGACCCTCATAGAATCACTTGGGAGCATATTCTTACTCCCGTGGCCAGGAATGGAGGGGATGGGGGCCGGGGGTGGGAAGAAGGGGTATGAGTTGGCAACTCCCTTTTTGAAGCTACAGTTCAGAGATGTGTTATCCTCATTGATTTTTATAATGAGAGCCTCATTTTAAAAACAAAACTTAGAGTTCTCCTTTCTCCTTTCTTTAAGTCAGTTAACCCTGCTCAGTGCTGGTATCATACTGAATACCTGTTAGGAGCAGCTGGGAGAGGGGACCAGGCGCATGTGGTAGTCTCAGGAAACATCACAAGTTGGCCTTTGCTGTAGGCAGTCCACAGCAGTTCTGAAAGGCTCATGCTCCACTTGCATAGGGCTTGGAGGCAGGCCAGAGGGCCCAGTGCTGTGGGGAATATAGGCTCACAGACAGTGGCAGCTCTGCTGAAGGAACACGGCTGGGGGGACAGCCTGGGTGAGGGAGAGGGCTGCGGGGGCGTGGGTGGGGGGGTAGCCTGAATAAAAGCACCACCAAAACCGACAGGCCAATGAAAAGGCTCTATAGAAATAATTACCAAGATAGATGTAAACTGTGGGGGTGGTTTCTCCTCCCCCACAGTTTTTCTGCCCAGGCAGAAGGCAGGGCATTCCAGGCAGGATATAGAACGGAGCTCCTGATCCTTGGGAAACGTAGGACAGGTGTGCAGGGAGCTAGAGAAAAGACAATGGGCAGCTACTGCCCTGAGCTGTGATCAAGCTCACCAACCCCCACAAACCTGAGGCTCAGGGCCAGTGGTTCTTCTCTGAGGCTGCAGAGAAGCAGGAGCGATAAGGAAGAGTAAGGAGTGTGAACATCTGGGGTGGAAGGGAGTAGGGAAGGGAACACGAATTTCCCCCTGAAGGGAAGTCTGTCAGTGGAATGCCATTCTTTGAGCTCAGAGGCCATGGAACTTGACCTCTGCCTTGGATCTCCTCTCTCTGCAAAGGGTCTCTTGAGGTAGGGTGGAAGTTTTGCAAGAATCTCAAAGATTTCTTGGAGGGAGGGTTTTATGTGCTTCCCAGCTGGGATGTAGACATGACAAAGGCCTCTGGTGATCCCTCGGGGTGCATGTTTGCAGGAGAATAAGGACAAACCTCAGGAAATTTGAGAAACTAATTTATCACAGCACCAAATCCTGGCTGGAAAGGGCAGCGCCCAGTTCACGTCCCAGTGGGCACATGCTTGAGGCCTCAGGGTGGCAGGTTGGGACTGTGAAGAGAAACAGAAGGTACAAAAGAGAAAAGCCTTTTTTCGCCACAGCTTCTCTAAGAAACCGGAGCATGTGTGGCTGCAATGTGAACAACTGACACAAAAGCATGGGGAACAACACACTCCCTATTTCTGCACTGAGTCCAGAAGGCGGTGCTCCTATGACCCCGGAGGCTCCCTAATCAGTGGCCACAATGGCAGCGCCTGCGGGGCAGTGGGCAGTAGAGATGGCTCAGCTCTGGGTTCCCAGCCCCCTTCTCCCCATCGGAAGAGGCAGCATTGGCAGTTTTGGCAGAGGTTCAATGACAGCAGCTGCCCCAGGAGAGGAAAAAAAGAAAAGAAAAGGAAAAAATGTCCTTCTTGAAATATCAATGGTCAAATTCTTCGCCACCTCTAGGCACTCCCAGGGCAACTTAAAGATTAGTCCAATGGACTTTAGCAAGAAGCTGGGTTCTTCAGTCACAGGTGGAGGGCACAGTTAGTCATTAATGTTAGTGTGACCGTATTTTAAACAGAAGGTTGGTAGCCTTGAGACACATGGACTATGTCTGGGTCAGGATCAGGGCCCCTGGACTGATACTCAAATATGGTAACTTGACTGAGTGCTGGATTAGATAAACATTAACAGTGGTCATCAGTAGGGTGGTTCTATAGACTCAATGTTTGTGTCTCCCTTTAAAGTCCCCAGAGAGTTCCCCTGTGACTTCTACCATGGGTGGGGACAGAGAGAAGGACGAAAAGAGCAGATGGCCATCTTTGAACCAGACAGAGAACTCTCACAGACACAGAACCTGCTAGTACCTTGATCTGGACTTTCCAGCCTCCAGAACTATGAGAAATAAATGTTTATTATTTATAAGCCACCCAATCTATGGAATTTTTGAATTTTGCCCTCCCAATTCCAACTTGTAAAAGACATAAATCTTAGTGTGTGCATGGGAGAGTCTTAATAAAATAATAATTGAACTTGTAACCTGAAGGACTAAAATCTACCTTGATAAGCCCTATAAGGTCTAGAGGGCTTGCTGTTTCTCAGGACAGAGCTATTGTAGCCACGTTAGTGACAGCCAAGAGTGATGCTGCACAGGAGGGCAACAGGCCTTGAACCCCGAGTTTCTGGGAGAAATGTAGCCTCGCTAGCTGAGTATCTGCAAGGATGGTAACATGGAGACAAATGTGATGGGCGCATTCGGGGCCTTGAAACCTTCCGGAAGTAACAGGTACATTACAATAGTCAAGTGGAACCTGAAGGTAATGGGAAATTCAGGAAGAGCGTAAGATCCGACGTCTGGGATGGTGTTGGAGGGGTTGGCATTTGGCATAAGAGCAGTCAGTAGGCTAGTCCTCACAGTGTTGCAGAGGGCTCGGGAGCAGGGGTCCAGGCAGGTATAACAGGGACTCAGGCACATGGGATAAGACAGGGACAGGTTCCTGGAGGTGGAATGAAGGCGGAGGCTGGCTGTCAGGGACAAGGTGTCTACAGGTTTGGGTGGACTGACCGCCATGGTGACTTAACTCTGGGGACTCACTGGGCCAGGCCTTGAGGCTAGACCCTACTTTGAGGTCCTCTCAGTGTCTCCAATTGACTAAAGCTTGGCCTCTCACATGTCTCCACCTTCCTTAACCTCAACAAGCCACATGGAACCAAATCCATAAGTTCTGAACCTCTTAACCTCTAGTGAAGCCTAGAGGTTTATCTTGGACCTTCCCCTGCAATTGCCTTTTCATTCATGACTACAGGTAGGCACACCATGTCGTGACTTCACAGAGCTGGCGCTCAGCTCTGTCCCCTGCACATTGGTGCTGAGATCAGCCAGAGTTCTCCTGCTCCAGCCAACGCACTCTTTAGCACTCCCTCCTCCCAGCCCCATCCCAGTCCCACCCTGTTTAAAGTGCTCCAAACTCCAACATAACCTCTGTGGACATCTGTATTTGTATCTCCAATATTCCTTCCTCTATTTATTCCCATTTCTAAGGTAAAGGGAGCCAAGGATGTTCTGTGGGGTGTGGGTGGAGCTGTCTCTGTTCCTCTCAGCTACAGTAATAGACAGTTAAAGAACCAGTGCTAAGAGACCAGGCCCCTTATTCATTTGTAACAGAGAGAAATGCCTGTGAGTCACCACTAGGGGGTTTGGAGCAATTCCAAAGGGAGGTCTGGGGGACCTAATTTCACCTGGATCTCCCTCAGGGGTTTTCATGGTACAAGCTGGGTCCCCATGGTGAATAGGCTTTCATAGAATCTCAGCATCAATTTGCAGGAGACAGTGATGTGGCCTCATACCTGACAGTTTGTCTGTGGCTAGTGTCTTTTTGTTATTTATTGCCAAAATTCTCAAGGGACTCTTTAAGGGACACCCCAAAGAGCGGCTCT